CTTGGCCAAGAAAAATAACGGGAGGCTGTACAGCACCAGCATTTCCACGAAACTACCCAAATTGGCACAAACGATCTTTGCGATTCCAGCTGCATCAGTCTTGGATACAGTGCGCTTATGAGGTGCGTTATGCGTTGTGTTTTGACCATAATTCGCCGGTAGCTTTAACAGGAAGGTCACTTGTTGCCGTTGGTAATAAGTGCCATTGACAGCGGCGATGAAATTTTCTGTATTTCCCGGAGGCTTAAGAGCGGATCTCATTTCCATTTGGTCAGTATCGGTCTCCTCATAGTGGCTCTCACTTTGAAGGCGCTCGACGCAAGAAAATATGGCTGGTATGAGAAGGACCAGCAGCAATAGCAGATGTGCTATTAGAAAAGTCTGAAAAGACCTCTCTGCGTCTCGGATGGTAGTTTTAATGTCAATGAACCGATTTCTTGCTTCCTCTTTCATTCCCTCGGGCCACTTTTGAAGTTGCTCTTTGAACAGGCGAATTTGGCTGAATGTGACGTATACGACATAGATAAAGGCTAGAAAAATAGGCAGAGCTACAATTCGAGCCATAATCGACAGGGAAACACTACAGAGGATCTCCTTGAGGCTGAATGATTCCACTTTCCTCGTTGTTAAGTTCATCTGAACAATTTTCGAAGTCACTGGCACGACGAAGACAAAGAGAAACACGGCAATGCTGACCTTGAGGATTGTGCGCCGAACTTTCTTCCAGTATCGCCTGGTCAAAATCACTTCGGAAAGCATTTTCTCCAAGTGGCGCTTTCGAAAGTACAAGATGCCAACAATGTACATCTCGAGGTACCTGAAGGACCAGATGATGTTCTTAGCGGCTGTTACAGTCTCCCCCAATTCGTCTTGGATCAGCGATCTGTTGTGGAATGCTCCCATGTCGAACGCGTAACAACCACACAGGAAAGCAACGATGAGCACTTGCATCGCAGTGTAAAACGTCTTCCGTGCGGACGATGCGTTTTGAGGAAGCCACAGAAAAGTGATCTGTAGAAACCAACGCAGCTTCCTTAACGATGGAGAACTTAAGCTCAAGTTCATAATAACATCGTCTTTGGTCACAGGTTTGTTGTCTTCTATTGCAGCTGCTTCCCTATCACTGTCACCGTCATCATAACCTACGACATCTTCGTGATGAACCGACACGATGGAGATCAAAGACGAAGAGCGATCACGGCAGTCGCCGTTTATACTCCCTGTACAGACTGCTTCCGTCTCGTCCACTATGACAAGGGACTCTTTGCTACCACCGTAAGGGCTATAAACCGGCTTAGCAGAACCAAAATTATTAGCCGCCATGATCTTAAGGCAAAAAATCGGCGTATGTTCAAGTGAAACTTCTATCAAGATCAAGCAATGGGCGTTAAAGTGAGGTTGGGTTAATTTCAGTCGGCGTCCGTTTGTTTTCTTCATGTTACACGAGAACGAGGCGCGGGGATTCCCCCTGTTTAGATTCGTTTTGGTTTCATCAGTACTGGCATTTTTCCACTGACGGGAAATTTACCAATTACTGTTATATTATCTAACGTTCAATTGCCCAGATATGGTTATATATTGGAATGACAGGGCACTTTTTTTCTCATTATGGTTTTGGACTTTTGCTGTGTATTGTTTTGAAGAGAGAACAAGGGAAGTGACAATCAGTCAATCTTCGTTTGTAAATGCTGTCTCGGAGTCGAAAAACATATCGAGCGTCTGGAAGGGGCAGGGAAGGGGGAAGGTTTACAGTGTTTTATGTGCAGTCACTGCTCGGATGTAATGAAACCAGTCTGTTTCAGACTAAGGAATGAAACCAGTCTGTTTCAGACTAAGGCTTTCAAACAGTCCTTCGAACGAAACTCAAGCGCTGCAAGTTGATCCTACTCTCTCATTTCCGCCAGTCGAGTTCAGTGCCCAGGGGGCAGAGGCCACTTCAGCATTCTCGACCAGGCTATCTGATTTCCCGAAAGTAAGATACAGAATTTTAGGGGAATTGAAGGAAATGAAAGAGTACTTCGTGAACTAAGAGAACACACAATTTTGGTTGAAATTTTGAGGTATCACCAAACGTGACGCTGATAAAGCACTTCAAATTCTCCGTGCAGAGGTTTGCCAGTATTGCATTATCATTCTGTTCTGTTGTGTCCGAGCAATAGCGAAAAATCGGTTATTTACATTTCACAATTCAATACATGTAACTCAACAAACAACTGCGTGTGACACTATGTAGGGTTTTCTGTTCATTGCGCTGCTCGAGAACGAGGCGAGGGAAGTCCCCTTGTTTAGATTCGTTTTCGCCTGATCAATGCTGGCATTTTTTCATTGACGGATAATTTACTGTTCTATTATGTTAAGTTCAAATGCCCAGATATGGTTATGTTTTGATATTATTCTTATTATGGTTTTGCATTTCTGCTGTATATTGTTTACAAGAGGGGAAGGAAGGAAATGTAATCAATATATATACACTCCGAGCATCGCTGGACTTTGGACAGAGAACATGAAAAAAGGTCATGAGGGCGATGGGAAGGGGAAAGTTTCGTTTTTCTTTATTTCTTAAATGAGCTGGAACCATTCTTTTTAAGATAATTGTCTGAGCGAAGCGCAAGTGAAGTTTTGTATCCATCAAACAGACTAGATACATTAAACATTCCCCAAGTATTAGACCCGTGTAGGGTTGGGTTCATTGAGATGAACGCATTCATTTCACCTCACACTACTGAAGCTCACCGAAAATATGCTATCACAATATTTGTCACCAAAAAGATTCTATATTGAGCACTAGAGTTATAAACTGCGATGCCTTACAGTTACTGTACTAGCGTGATATAGCAGAACGAACAAAGATCTCAGTTCCAAAAATACCACTTATCTGCCTGCTACACTAGACTGCCAGTCAATAAACCTTGAATTTGAAATGATCGCCGTCTAAGGGCCTGATTACATGATACATAATAATACCTGATGAATGAAGTTATGTGAATGGTGCAAAGAAAGTTCGAAGCAATTCACCCAGAGTACAGTAGAGCAGGTTAACTGTCTGCATGCATTGCAGGCCTATGTTATTAATAGTAACTTGTAAGAGGAACTCCTGTAGAATCTAATTTTATTATATTTATAAAATTCATCTTTTCAGGGTTATGGCATGAAGCACACTCTAAGCAAATGGTCTCACTTGGATTTTGCCAGTCACTGGGTAGCGTTAGTGACATTCCTTCTTGGTAGAATCATTGGTTGATCCATAAATCAATCACGAGAGACAGAAACCACCACAGCTGATTTGTAGCTGTTGTTTATTTCAAAAAGACAACATAATATACAAATTGGAATAAAATCAGAAAACTAGCCTGCAGAGCATGTGCCATTAGAGTATCACAAAGCAGTGATACTCAGGACAAATGTTCTAAAAGGCGTTCAGTATGCCTGTGCCGATCCTTAATTAGGTTGTATTTATTTACAGTAAAATATATTACAAATTAAATTGTTTTGAAAAACAATGTAATGTAATCTGTTGTTGTTGTTTTTGCCTCTAACAAAATAAAATTGCAAAACAATGAAAGTGCTAACATAAACAACAAATCCAGATCACTTACTGTACTTGGCTATCATTTTATGGTATAAATTATACAAATTACTCTAGCCCTCTAACACTTTTAGAATTTCCCATTACTTCCTAGTGTTTATGTTCCGACTGAGACCATCCATGGCAGCTGATTGATAGCTGTTGTTTCTGTCATGAATCGATCAAGACAGCAAAACATGCAATTTGTAACAAACTCAGAAAACGTGCCTTCACACCATGTGACATTAGGGTATCACAAAGCGCTGATACTCAGGACAAATGTTCTAAGAGGCATTCAGTATGTACAGATCCTTAATTAGGTTGTATTTATTTACAGTAAATGTATTACAAATAAAATTGTTTTGAATTGTTTTTAATCTGTTGTTGTTGTTGGTTTTCTTTTGTAATCTGTTGTTTTTGCCTTTCAGCAAATAAAATAGCAAAATAATGAAATTTCGAACTTTGACAACAAATCCAGATCAGGTACTTTACTTGGCTATCATTGTATTGCTGCATTTCCGGCTTTTGTCATATTTTGTATGGTATTCTACAAATTACTGTAAAAACTCTATCAAGTTCCTAGTGTCTATGTTTCGTTGCAAATTCATGAATCTGATTGATTCATTCATCAGTTATTATTTGAACATTAGAAGGTGAGCTCGAAGTTTCTATCGACTTATAATTGGCAAGGGTGAAGCCCCTGGCCAACTACCACATCAAAAGAAAGTGAGAGCGAGTTGTCTAATCATTTTAGCACAATCCAGTGACTGATCTATCAAACAAACAAATATTTTATATTACAAGTGTCAACAAACAAAGTTGAAATCATCTTCAAAGATTGACCAGCCCCCTGTGTTGTCTAGCAGTTGCTAGACAGCCACTGTGTAGTCAATCAGTTTGTGTGTTTTCCTGAGAGTCATTTGACGGGTTATGTCAATCACTGATAGATCACTACAGATCTCAGTATTGTATTTGAAGAACAAATGTCTGCCTGAGTCACCAGTTTGTTTTGCACAAATTGAAAATGTATTCTGATGTAATGTTGAGCTTTTTTCTGTTATAATACAATTATGTGAATCACGATAATTGTTGCAACCCGAAAACACACTCCAGGCAATGTGCACATAGGTCACAATCTGTTCAATTTGCGCCACATAATGAATTGGATACTTCTGTCTCTAGAGACTGAAAAAATTTTGTGTGTCTAAAATGTCTGAACAAAATTGGAATTTTGTCGGATTTTGGCAATTTTTTTGTTTATTGTTTGATAAGCAGCTGTTATTTGCAGTCGTGTGATATGGTTTTAAGTCAGCCTACCAAGAGCTTAAAAAGACATTGAAGAAGTAGTGAGGGTCTCAATGAGAGGATGAGGGCTGGGGAACCCCTGAAAGGACTCCCAAATAAAAGGGACAAGGGTAGTTGTGGTACTTTTGAGGGTTTTGGTACGGGTAGTTTTGATAGGGTTTTTTGGTTTTGGTACCTCCTAGCTTGTTCAGCCCCAAAAGGTCCTCAGTAGGAGCTTTTGCAGAATATTTTAGGGTATTGATCTGAAAAAACTATGATTGGAGATAATGTGTTATTTTAGAATTGGTACCTCCTAGTTCAAGCCACATCCACAAAACAGAATCTTGGTACCTCTCATTTCCGATGAGCACCCCTGTTCTTTTTATATGGGAGTCCCCCCTGAGGAAGGGGAGCCTACCCACAGAATTCAGCTTAGGTCTACATGTAGAAATAACAAGTGAATAGCGGTTGTAAGGAAAGGCATAAGGAGTGTTAAAAGAGCGGCCTTGATGCCCGTCAAATTCATGCGGAGTATCTGAATGCCCCTTCCTGTTGAAAGATCTCCCTTTACTTCATCCTGGATTTGCTTGTTTTGGAACAGATATCCATGTTTTGTTTGCTCACTGAACTTGAGATCCTGGACAACTTCAGGGAGACTAGCCATGATCTTGTGCAGTTTGGCCAAGAAAATTAACGGGAGGCTGTACAGCACCAGCATTTCCACGAAACCACCCAAATTGGCACAAACGATCTTTGCGATTCCAGCTGCATCAGTCTTGGATACAGTGCGCTTATGAGGTGCGTTATGCGTTGTGTTTTGACCATAATTCGCCGGTAGCTTTAACAGGAAGGTCACTTGTTGCCGTTGGTAATAAGTGCCATTGACAGCGGCGATGAAATTTTCTGTATTTCCCGGAGGCTTAAGAGCGGATCTCATTTCCATTTGGTCAGTATCGGTCTCCTCATAGTGGCTCTCACTTTGAAGGCGCTCGACGCAAGAAAATATGGCTGGTATGAGAAGGACCAGCAGCAATAGCAGATGTGCTATTAGAAAAGTCTGAAAAGACCTCTCTGCGTCTCGGATGGTAGTTTTAATGTCAATGAACCGATTTCTTGCTTCCTCTTTCATTCCCTCGGGCCACTTTTGAAGTTGCTCTTTGAACAGGCGAATTTGGCTGAATGTGACGTATACGACATAGATAAAGGCTAGAAAAATAGGCAGAGCTACAATTCGAGCCATAATCGACAGGGAAACACTACAGAGGATCTCCTTGAGGCTGAATGATTCCACTTTCCTCGTTGTTAAGTTCATCTGAACAATTTTCGAAGTCACTGGCACGACGAAGACAAAGAGAAACACGGCAATGCTGACCTTGAGGATTGTGCGCCGAACTTTCTTCCAGTATCGCCTGGTCAAAATCACTTCGGAAAGCATTTTCTCCAAGTGGCGCTTTCGAAAGTACAAGATGCCAACAATGTACATCTCGAGGTACCTGAAGGACCAGATGATGTTCTTAGCGGCTGTTACAGTCTCCCCCAATTCGTCTTGGATCAGCGATCTGTTGTGGAATGCTCCCATGTCGAACGCGTAACAACCACACAGGAAAGCAACGATGAGCACTTGCATCGCAGTGTAAAACGTCTTCCGTGCGGACGATGCGTTTTGAGGAAGCCACAGAAAAGTGATCTGTAGAAACCAACGCAGCTTCCTTAACGATGGAGAACTTAAGCTCAAGTTCATAATAACATCGTCTTTGGTCACAGGTTTGTTGTCTTCTATTGCAGCTGCTTCCCTATCACTGTCACCGTCATCATAACCTACGACATCTTCGTGATGAACCGACACGATGGAGATCAAAGACGAAGAGCGATCACGGCAGTCGCCGTTTATACTCCCTGTACAGACTGCTTCCGTCTCGTCCACTATGACAAGGGACTCTTTGCTACCACCGTAAGGGCTATAAACCGGCTTAGCAGAACCAAAATTATTAGCCGCCATGATCTTAAGGCAAAAAATCGGCGTATGTTCAAGTGAAACTTCTATCAAGATCAAGCAATGGGCGTTAAAGTGAGGTTGGGTTAATTTCAGTCGGCGTCCGTTTGTTTTCTTCATGTTACACGAGAACGAGGCGCGGGGATTCCCCCTGTTTAGATTCGTTTTGGTTTCATCAGTACTGGCATTTTTCCACTGACGGGAAATTTACCAATTACTGTTATATTATCTAACGTTCAATTGCCCAGATATGGTTATATATTGGAATGACAGGGCACTTTTTTTCTCATTATGGTTTTGGACTTTTGCTGTGTATTGTTTTGAAGAGAGAACAAGGGAAGTGACAATCAGTCAATCTTCGTTTGTAAATGCTGTCTCGGAGTCGAAAAACATATCGAGCGTCTGGAAGGGGCAGGGAAGGGGGAAGGTTTACAGTGTTTTATGTGCAGTCACTGCTCGGATGTAATGAAACCAGTCTGTTTCAGACTAAGGAATGAAACCAGTCTGTTTCAGACTAAGGCTTTCAAACAGTCCTTCGAACGAAACTCAAGCGCTGCAAGTTGATCCTACTCTCTCATTTCCGCCAGTCGAGTTCAGTGCCCAGGGGGCAGAGGCCACTTCAGCATTCTCGACCAGGCTATCTGATTTCCCGAAAGTAAGATACAGAATTTTAGGGGAATTGAAGGAAATGAAAGAGTACTTCGTGAACTAAGAGAACACACAATTTTGGTTGAAATTTTGAGGTATCACCAAACGTGACGCTGATAAAGCACTTCAAATTCTCCGTGCAGAGGTTTGCCAGTATTGCATTATCATTCTGTTCTGTTGTGTCCGAGCAATAGCGAAAAATCGGTTATTTACATTTCACAATTCAATACATGTAACTCAACAAACAACTGCGTGTGACACTATGTAGGGTTTTCTGTTCATTGCGCTGCTCGAGAACGAGGCGAGGGAAGTCCCCTTGTTTAGATTCGTTTTCGCCTGATCAATGCTGGCATTTTTTCATTGACGGATAATTTACTGTTCTATTATGTTAAGTTCAAATGCCCAGATATGGTTATGTTTTGATATTATTCTTATTATGGTTTTGCATTTCTGCTGTATATTGTTTACAAGAGGGGAAGGAAGGAAATGTAATCAATATATATACACTCCGAGCATCGCTGGACTTTGGACAGAGAACATGAAAAAAGGTCATGAGGGCGATGGGAAGGGGAAAGTTTCGTTTTTCTTTATTTCTTAAATGAGCTGGAACCATTCTTTTTAAGATAATTGTCTGAGCGAAGCGCAAGTGAAGTTTTGTATCCATCAAACAGACTAGATACATTAAACATTCCCCAGGTATTAGACCCGTGTAGGGTTGGGTTCATTGAGATGAACGCATTCATTTCACCTCACACTACTGAAGCTCACCGAAAATATGCTATCACAATATTTGTCACCAAAAAGATTCTATATTGAGCACTAGAGTTATAAACTGCGATGCCTTACAGTTACTGTACTAGCGTGATATAGCAGAACGAACAAAGATCTCAGTTCCAAAAATACCACTTATCTGCCTGCTACACTAGACTGCCAGTCAATAAACCTTGAATTTGAAATGATCGCCGTCTAAGGGCCTGATTACATGATACATAATAATACCTGATGAATGAAGTTATGTGAATGGTGCAAAGAAAGTTCGAAGCAATTCACCCAGAGTACAGTAGAGCAGGTTAACTGTCTGCATGCATTGCAGGCCTATGTTATTAATAGTAACTTGTAAGAGGAACTCCTGTAGAATCTAATTTTATTATATTTATAAAATTCATCTTTTCAGGGTTATGGCATGAAGCACACTCTAAGCAAATGGTCTCACTTGGATTTTGCCAGTCACTGGGTAGCGTTAGTGACATTCCTTCTTGGTAGAATCATTGGTTGATCCATAAATCAATCACGAGAGACAGAAACCACCACAGCTGATTTGTAGCTGTTGTTTATTTCAAAAAGACAACATAATATACAAATTTGAACAAAATCAGAAAACTAGCCTGCAGAGCATGTGCCGTTAGAGTATCACAAAGCAGTGATACTCAGGACAAATGTTCTATAAGGCATTTAGTATGACTGTACCGATCCTTAATTAGGTTGTATTTATTTACAGTAAATATATTACAAATTAAATTGTTTTGAAAAACAAGGTAATGTAATCTATTGTTGTTGTTTTTGCCTCTAACAAAATAAAATTGCAAAACAATGAAAGTGCTAACATAAACAACAAATCCAGATCACTTACTATACTTGGCTATCATTTTATGGTATAAATTATACAAATTACTGTTAGTAAAAACCCTATGAAGCCCTCTAACACTTTTAGAATTCCCCATTACTTCCTAGTGTTTATGTTCCGATTGAGACAATCCATGACAGCTGATTGATAGCTGTTGTTTCTGTCATGAACCGATCAAGAAGACAGCAAAACATACAATTTGTAACAAAATCAGAAAATGTGCCTTCACACCATTACTTGGCTATCATTGTATAGCTGCATTTCCAACTTTTGTCATATTTTGTATGGTATTATACACATTACTGTAAAACCCTATTAAACTCCTAGTGTCCATGTTTTGTTGCAAATTCATGAATCTGATTGATTCATTCATCAGTTATTATTTGAACATAAGAAGGTGAGCTCAAAGTTTCTATCGACTTATAATTGGCAAGGGTGAAGCCCCTGGCCAACTACCAAATCAAAAGAAAGTGAGAGCGAGTTGTCTAATCAGTTTAGCACAATCCACTGACTGATCTATCAAGCAAACAAATATTTTGTATTACAAGTGTCAACAAACAAAGTTGAAATCATCTTCAAAGATTGACCAGCCCCCTGTGTTGTCTAACAGTTGCTAGACAGCCACTGTGTAGCCAATCAGTTTGAGTGTTTTCCTGAGAGTCATTTGATGGGTTATGTCAATCACTGATAGATCACTACAGATCTTTGTATTGTATTTGAAGAACAAATGTCTGCCTGAGTCACCAGTTTGTTTGCACAAATTGAAAATGTATTCTGATGTAATGTTGAGCTTTTTTTTCTGTTATAATTCCATAATGTGAATCGTGATAATTGTTGCAACCCAAAAACACATTCCAGGCAATGTGCACGTAGGTCACAATCTGTTCAATTTGCGCCACATAATGAATTGGATACTTCTGTCTTTAGAGACTGAAAAAATTCGGTCTTAAATGTCTGAACAAAATTGGAATTTTGTCGGATTTTGGCAATTTTTTTGGTTATTGTTTGGTAAGCAGCTGTTATTTGCAGTCGTGTGATATGGTTTTAAGTCAGCCTACCAAGAGCTTAAAAAGACATTAAAGAAGTAGTGAGGGTCTCAGTGAGAGGATGAGGGCAGGGGAACCCCTGAGAGGACTCCCAAATAAAAGGGACAAGGGTACTTGTGGTACTTTTGAGGGTTTTGGTACGGGTAGTTTTGATAGGGTTTTTACGGTTTTGGTACCTCTTGGCTTGTTCAGCCTCAAAAGGTCCTCAGCAGGAGCTTTTGCAGAACCTTTTAGGGTATTGATCTGAAAAAACTGTGATTGGAGATAATGTGTTATTTTAGAATTGGTACCTCTTAGTTCAAGCCACATCCACAAAACAGAATCTTGGTACCTCTTATTTCCGATGAGCACCCCTGTTGTTTTTATATGGGGGTCCCCCCTGAGGGAGGGGGAGCCTACCCACAGAATTCAGTCTAGGTCTACATGCAGAAATAACAAGTGAATCGCTGTTGTGAGAAAAGGCATCAGTAGTGTTAAAAGAGCGGCCTTGATGCCAGTCAAATTCATGCGGAGTATCTGAATGCCCCTTCCTGTTGAAAGATCTCCCTTTACTTCATCCTGGATTTGCTTGTTTTGGAACAGATATCCATATTTTGTTTGCTCACTGAACTTGAGATCTTGGACAACTTCAGGGAGACTAGCCATGATCTTGTGCAACTTGGCCAAGAAAAATAACGGGAGGCTGTACAGCACCAGCATTTCCACGAAACTACCCAAATTGGCACAAACGATCTTTGCGATTCCAGCTGCATCAGTCTTGGATACAGTGCGCTTATGAGGTGCGTTATGCGTTGTGTTTTGACCATAATTCGCCGGTAGCTTTAACAGGAAGGTCACTTGTTGCCGTTGGTAATAAGTGCCATTGACAGCGGCGATGAAATTTTCTGTATTTCCCGGAGGCTTAAGAGCGGATCTCATTTCCATTTGGTCAGTATCGGTCTCCTCATAGTGGCTCTCACTTTGAAGGCGCTCGACGCAAGAAAATATGGCTGGTATGAGAAGGACCAGCAGCAATAGCAGATGTGCTATTAGAAAAGTCTGAAAAGACCTCTCTGCGTCTCGGATGGTAGTTTTAATGTCAATGAACCGATTTCTTGCTTCCTCTTTCATTCCCTCGGGCCACTTTTGAAGTTGCTCTTTGAACAGGCGAATTTGGCTGAATGTGACGTATACGACATAGATAAAGGCTAGAAAAATAGGCAGAGCTACAATTCGAGCCATAATCGACAGGGAAACACTACAGAGGATCTCCTTGAGGCTGAATGATTCCACTTTCCTCGTTGTTAAGTTCATCTGAACAATTTTCGAAGTCACTGGCACGACGAAGACAAAGAGAAACACGGCAATGCTGACCTTGAGGATTGTGCGCCGAACTTTCTTCCAGTATCGCCTGGTCAAAATCACTTCGGAAAGCATTTTCTCCAAGTGGCGCTTTCGAAAGTACAAGATGCCAACAATGTACATCTCGAGGTACCTGAAGGACCAGATGATGTTCTTAGCGGCTGTTACAGTCTCCCCCAATTCGTCTTGGATCAGCGATCTGTTGTGGAATGCTCCCATGTCGAACGCGTAACAACCGCACAGGAAAGCAACGATAAGCACTTGCATCGCAGTGTAAAACGTCTTCCGTGCGGACGATGCGTTTTGAGGGAACCACAGGAAAGTGATCAGGAGAAACCACCGCAGCCCCTTTAACGATGGAGAACTTAAGCTCAAGTTCCTAATAACATCGTCTTTGGTCACAGGTTTGTTGCCTTCTATTGCAGCTGCTTCCCTATCATGATGAACCGACACGATGGAGTTCAATGACGAAGAGCGTTCACGGCAGTTGCCGTTTATACTCCCTGCACAGACTGCTTCCGTCTCGTCCACTATGACAAGGGACTCTTTGCTGCCTCCGTAAGGACTATACAACGGCTTAGCAGAACAAAAATTATTAGCAGCCATGATCTTAAGGCAAAAATCGGCGTACGTTCAGGTGAAACTTCTATCAAGATCGAGCGATGGGCGTTAAAGTGAGGTTGGGTTGATTTCATTCGGCGTCCGTTTGTTTTCTTTATGTTACACGAAAACGAGGCGCGGGGATTCCCCCTGGTTTAGATTCGTTTTAGTTTCATCAATACTGGCATTTTTCCACTGACGGGAAATTTCCCGATTAATGTTATGTTATCTAACGTTCAATTGCCCATATATGGTTATATTTTGGAATGACAGGGCACTTTTTCTCTCATTATCGTTTTGGACTTTTGCTGTGTATTGTTTTGAAGAGAGAACAAGGGAAGTGACAATCAATCAATCTTCGTTTTTAAATGCTGTCTTGGGGCAGGGAAGGGGGGAGGTTTACAGTGTTTTATGTGCAGTCACTCCTCGGATGTAATGAAACCAGTCTGTTTCAGACGAAGGCTTTCAAACAGTCCTTCGAACAAAACTCAAGTGAGCGCTGCAAGTTGATCCTACTCTCTCATTTCCGCCTGTCGAGTTCAGTGCCCAGGGGGAAGAGGCCACTTCAGCACTCAAGTCTCGACCAGGCTATCTGATTTCTCGAAAGTAAGAGTACTTCGTGAACATAGAGAATACACACATAATTTTGAGGTATCACCAAACGTGACGCTGATAAAGCACCTCAAATTCTCCGTGCAGAGGTTTACCAGTATTGCATTATCACTCTGTTCAGTTGTGTCCGAGCAATAGCGAAAAATCGGTTATTTACATTCCACAATTCAATACATGTAACTCAACAAACAACTGCGTGTGACACTATGTAGGGTTTTCTGTTCATTGCGCTGCTCGAGAACGAGGCGAGGGAAGTCCCCTTGTTTAGATTCGTTTTCGCCTGATCAATGCTGGCATTTTTTCATTGACGGATAATTTACTGTTCTATTATGTTAAGTTCAAATGCCCAGATATGGTTATGTTTTGATATTATTCTTATTATGGTTTTGCATTTCTGCTGTATATTGTTTACAAGAGGGGAAGGAAGGAAATGTAATCAATATATATACACTCCGAGCATCGCTGGACTTTGGACAGAGAACATGAAAAAAGGTCATGAGGGCGATGGGAAGGGGAAAGTTTCGTTTTTCTTTATTTCTTAAATGAGCTGGAACCATTCTTTTTAAGATAATTGTCTGAGCGAAGCGCAAGTGAAGTTTTGTATCCATCAAACAGACTAGATACATTAAACATTCCCCAAGTATTAGACCCGTGTAGGGTTGGGTTCATTGAGATGAACGCATTCATTTCACCTCACACTACTGAAGCTCACCGAAAATATGCTATCACAATATTTGTCACCAAAAAGAT